ACGAGGTAGACAACCCCGAGAGAACTCAGAACTTTATTATTAGAAAACCTCTTGGGAATAACAAAACAGTTAAACCAAATTTTAAAACCTAATATATATACCTAGGAGAAAATGCAATCCAACACCCCTCCCAGTGGGAACTGTAACTCAGCCCTAAATTGGCAAAACACCTAAAACATGGTCAAAACGGACTACAAAAATCAAGTGAATGACAAAACAGAGGCCTCAAAAACTTACTGAAAGAAGCCCAAAAAGTATACATGAACAGGCCTCAGCAAATTGGCCCAAAGTCCAAATAATAAAATATTTTTTTACAAGAAAAAAAGGTCATCTAAAAGAAATTGTCCAAAAAGACACAAAGAAACTGAAAATCATTTAAATAAACTGAAAAAGATAACGAGTATCAAAAACTTCATTATTTAATTCCTAAGGCTAAAACATCCTAACAAACTCTTGATAACACTAAATTAAGACCCCAGGACGAAAATTATAAATATCAAAATTCCTCAAAATTATAAAACTAGGAAAAAAAAACATACAAAGTAAGTGAAACAAAAAGGGAAAATTTACCAAGCTTCTCATAAAACAAATTTAAATCTAACAACGAAAATCGTACCAAGATTTGAGACCACAGTGTTAAAAACTGAGAAAAGAAGAGGGAGGGGAAAGAGGGGGAGAGAGAGCTAAAGAAACAGTGTCTGCTGTAATAAAAGAAAAGGTCTGCAGCTTTAATTTTGATGGTTTAGGAAGAGGGAAGTTACTTTTGTAGTCTAAAAGGAAATATTAGAACAGTGTTGGAATCATAGAGACAAGAAAGAATTGCATGTAATAAACTGATAAGGGAAAGTCAGAAGGAAAGGGGGATGGTGCTTCCTCTCTCCAAATGAGCTAGGAAAAGAAGATGGGACTTCAAATTGATTGATTACTTAATACTTTTATTAAAGATCTGAATTGAAATTAGAAACTCTGATATAAGTCTGTGGTTATATTTGCCAGTGTAACATAAGAAAATGTTGTATAATTTTACTATCAAAAACTTAATTTTTAAAGAAATTATAACAAAAATCATTGTTAATATCATAAGTTATTAAAATCATAGTTCGTATAAATGTATTAAATTATAACATAACATTGCTTTCATTACATGTGTCTCTGCCTTTAAAATATTCTCACAAATCTAAAATAATGCCAATTATTTATTATCTTAAAATATATACACGGAAGTAATTTTATTCTGTATTGAAAACCATACTTTTAACAAAGACTTCAGTGTTAGTATCACCTGTGCTTCTTCTCCCTTCCACCTAAGGAGGAGACTTTGTGTACATCATGTGTGTGAACTGAGTACCTGTTAATTACATCACAACTAATTTACCCTAATTTCATTAGGAGAATGTTTCTTCTTCTCACTAACCCTGTGAAGTGACTTCCAGGCTATTTGCTGCAAATCTGTTTATATTACCCTATATAAAATGTGCACGTCTTCAAAAACTGACTAAAATACCCTTTATAAAAAATATATATTAACATTTATATAATGAATACATATATTTCTATTTTTATTTCTTTTCCATAAACTTATTTGGCATATTTCTTTGGAAATTCCTAGCCTGGAGGAAACTCTGAGGAAAACTACCTGGCAGGGCAGATGCAGCTGCATCTGCCCTGAGTCAGGTTTCATTTCTATGGATTACAAGGGAAAGAGAGAGAGAGAGGTGCTTTCTTTTTTTTTCCTTCCTAAACGCAACTTTAAAGTAAAGAATAATTTTAATGTTTGTTTTATACTAAAACCCATGTTGTTGAAGTGAAAAAAAAAAAATATGATGTGACAGCCCAGGTGGGCAAAATTGTGTTTATGAACTAAAGTCTCCTGCTAGCCCTCAACTGTGGAGGCTGAAACCGATTATATTAATTCCTGTGTACTAGCATATTCACAACCTGGGACTATTCGTACTTTCTATGTCCTAATCAAAATTTAGTGTAAAAGTGGAGGGGGCTGGGACAGAATTATAAGGAAAGCAAAGGGAGACTTTAGTCCAAACAGCACCCTTAAATTTCAAGATGCATAAGATAAACCCTGGGAATGGGGAAGGAAACATCTTTAACCCCTTGTTGAGAGAATCCATTCCAGGAACTGCACACAACAAAAGACTGCAGACCCGTACTGCAAAGCAAAAATGGACACATGCCTCCCGAATGAAAGGACTTCTCGCAAGTGACCATTGGACTATGGACGGAGAAAACTACGAACAGTCTGGAATTAAATCTTGAAAAGGAAAAGACTGGTGAATAAATAACAATTCATTCCAAAATTCTAAGGAAACATCCCCCCTGCTGTACAAAGGATTCCAAATACCTTCTCCATGTACTTTACAAATAACCCATATATACCTTAGCATCCATGCAAAATTCCTCTCGAATCAGGGGCAATCTTTAAAATAATAAGAACCCATATCCATCTGCCCCACTGTTGTAAAATAAAAACTAATATTCGTGTGCTTCATAGAATACCTTGAGGCATACCCTGTTTAAAACATCCCCATTTAAATCATACAGAATGAATAGTTTGTCAATGTATTAAATATAATTAAAAAATATAATAATATTAACTATTAATCCCAAGGACATAGAAAATGTCTATAAGGTATATACACCTATAAAATTATTGGTGGAAACACTTTATAAAATGTCACCTAAAGAAATTTTTTATTCTGCCCTTTGAAGTAGAAAGCACAAACAATAATGATTGAAATACTTTGTCTGTAATAATTTAGGAGTGTATTCTTTTCCTTTAAAACATCTTGAACTTAGAGGCCGTATAAACCCTGAAGACTACGGCTGCTGCCGAGAAGATTACAAAATACCTCGCTGCTCCGTGCTCCGGAGTTAGGCGAAGGGAGGCAGAGACGTACTACAGTGGGTACATAAGTATATAACAAGCCTCTCAATAAACCTGAACTAAAAGTAACACTCTGTAAAATAAAAAGGACAAAGCCAAACAACAACAAAAAAATTGAGCCTTAATTATGCTTCCTCAAGGTCTCCACCAATAATTTAGAAGTGAGCATTTCAAAAACAAACTAATAATCATCAACCCTTTAATACTAATCTATGTTTAGTTATGTACCTTAGTTAATTACTCTGTTGTCAACTGCTACAAAACCCCTTATTTCATTAATTTTAAGACTAATATTTAAACCATGTATTTTTAATACAATTATTACCATTAAATAAAAAAATGAGGAAATGTAATAGAAGGGTTAACTTTGTTCCTAAAATCTTATGTAGGGAGTCAGAAAACTTTTTTGTTGTAATTAGACAGGATAAGTTTCACAGACAGCTTGCTAATCAAGCAAAGGTCAATAAACAACTGATAAGAGCTGCACCCTTTATGACCACTTGACTACCACCGACCTCAAGCAAATTTACATCCGAAAAGCCAGTTCGAGACAGCACTTAACATGTACTTCACAGCCATGGACGTGATAAACTATATATATTTTAGAGAGATTGTTTTTGTTAAGCTTACTAACACTTCAGGCTATGGATGTGCGATTTCTATATGTATTTCTCTCATAGTTGTTAAGGCTACATATATATATTTTAAAGGGATTTTTTTAAGCTTAGTTAAACTTCGTATGCAGTATGCATTCCCCACATAACTGTGAAATGCTGTTAACAAACTGCCGTTTGTTCCCAAGGTTGATAATGAAAGGGGGATAGTCTGACCCTGTAATTTATAGTACCCTGATAACACCATTCAAGCCGACAATCTGGAGACACTGAGAGGCTCCCCCTAAACAAGGAGTCAAAAGTGATTTAGGAATGTGATAAGCCTGGAAGGAGAGGAAAATACCTATTAAATGCGCATGTTCCAAGCTGGGGTCATCTACCGGACACGGAGGAAGAGGAGAAATCTTCCTCGCGAAGACCCCGGCCCACAAAGAAACCCCCAGCCCACCGACGCTGGGAACACTGCCCAGGAACATGTATGGGAAAAACTTTGCAACTGAGCATGTGCAAAGAGCACATGCCCCGGACTATGTATGAATAAGAATCTAAGTACTGAGCATGTCTAGACGGGAACCCAGAGGGTTCAAAAGGGGAACTTGAGAGGTCGGGGCGGGCAAGTTGTGTGAGAACTTATGTTCTAACGGCCCCCGGCGCTCCGTAATTGTTCATCTACCGCTTACTAATAAATTGGCTTGTTATTTTGCATTAGTCTTCTCAATTTCCTTAAACCATCGCTGGTAACTTATAACAATGGACATGTATAAAGAGAGACTGACTTCATTTCACGGTGTGTCTCGGCAGGCACTTGCCTCCAGGCCACCCAGCACTGTCTTTGCTTTGTCATCGCTTGCTTAATAAATTTATCAATGTTTAATTGGAATCAAGTTGTCTAAATTCTCATACTAACCTATTACACAGGGATGGTTACAGATAGAGGAATGGAAGACCAGAGGGAAATATGTAACTAATTCTGACAGATCTTTATTTGCCCTGAGGGAATTTTTTGACTTTTCATGATGCCTTAAGGAATTTTGGAATGGTGAGACAGGAGGAAGATGGCAGCAGTTCTCAGAGCTGACTAGGAATCAGCCAGGACCGCAGCCTGCTCCTGTGTTTTCCTCCTAAAGATTGCGATGGTTCTTCTCTTTATGAAGCCTTTTTGACAGTGGAGTAACAGCATATCCTTAATGGTCATGCTGATATTTTCTGCAGGGGACTGCTTTGACGGGAGGCAAGAGGATTGCTCAGCTGAAAAGAGGAAGAGCATGTGAACTTACCTTAGCAAGCAGGAACCACGATTTCAGAGATCTGAACTGCTACAGTTACTGTAACATCCATTTTTTTTTTCTTGTCAGTAATATTGTCTTTACTTTCCCTGGTGTTGAACAGTGTAAGCTGGGAATAGTGAAGTTCACTGAAGCTGAGCAAGTGCCCGAGCTTGAAGCTGTTATACATCTGGTTGTAGCCTCCAGTGATACAAGACACAGTGTTGCCACCGCAGCAGACCTTGAGCTAAAGAGCAAACAAAGGTATGGTCTGGATGTTTGGAGAAGACAGTGTCTTAAGCTAGCTGCATTGAATGTAATGCTATAGAGAGGGTGTGCTCTGCAAGGAGGAAGGCTGCAGTCCCCTGTGTACCTGTGAAGCTGCCATGGATTCACACCAGGCTGGAAATGGTTTGGCTCACCACCTGGGAGCATCACTTGGCTCTGGAACTGACAGCTTTAGCTATGTGGTTTTGATATTTTTTTTTAGTATTGCTTTTGAACCACTTTCTTACCAAATGGTAGAGAATATCAGTAGTTTCCACGTTACCCTCTGTGGATTCTCAGTGGTCAATAAAACCCTAGTAAATGATTCTCAGAAAAGTATATTTTCATTTAATTTATTAAGAGTGTAAAGACAATAATTGTGAAATGGATCATAGTCTAGGAAGTTGGCAGCTACTGTTCTCTGCATTATTAAAATTTCATCTTGGCTGCAGTTCACCTTTCATCATCTAAAGACAATGCTTCTGTCTTTAACTCGTCATGGGGCCAGAGTAATGGCTGTTGGTACTATTGGTTGAGACACTGATCGTGCGAGGGTTGCTGGCTCATGTAGGACGAGGGAGCAAGACAGGCCTGTCTTTGAAATGTGCAGGTGGCTTCTGTAGGACTGTTTAACCTAAAGTCACACAAAATAACTGTGTGGATGAAATGCACGTTAATATGTAATATTAAGTGGGTTTTATAAAAAATATATACTAGTTCATAGCTTACCATTCTATATTCAGTTGGTAGATTACAGTGGTCTGTATGTCTTATTTTAGTGAGAGAGAAGGGAACACATAGATTTCTCACAAATTATTTGATAATATGTTGTCAGAAATTGCAAGTGTAATCACTTCACATTCTTTATGATTATATATATGTGGGAAGAGTGGTTACAAATCAAACCAGTTCTGTTTAAACTTTGGGAGGAATGTGAATATGATGCAAAATGCTGTAAACTACATATATTTTGAGAAGCAATCAGAGATCAGAATCATAACATGTTGTTGTTCAATGTGGTTTTTTTCTTCAGTTTAATTGACTGGAATAATCTTGCTATCATCGACAAAATGTATAAAGTGTATCTTGGGGATATACCACTGAAAACCAAGGAGGTAAGATTTGCCTTCAGAGTTGCATATCTTCTTAATTTCTGAAGAAGTAATTTTAGTTGCCTTATTTTATTTGAAGAAGATATACATTTATTTCTTAAATCTATCACTTCCTTTGATCTCTGCTTTCACTGAACATTTGTGCTATTGAATAATTTTTTTCTCTGACCCACTGTGTTCTGATTTGCAGTAGAAGGTTATTAAGCTAACTTAAAAGTACTGCTGTCCAAAGATGCTCTATTTCATCTCTGTTTCTGACAGGGATCTCTTCTCAAACCAGAAATGAAACGAGAATCAGTCAGTACCCATGTTAAATTAAAAATAGTTCCTCATCTTCTGCGATCCAGGCAAGCTGCAGAAATGTTTCCAGATAACATTCAGGTAATGTTTATGTTCCAGAGATGCTTTTCCTAATGAGCTTGGTAATACAGTTCCTCCAGTACCTAGACAAAGGAAGAATTGTTACTGTTTAGAGGAGAGCAGGAATTGGAAAACCTTTGAAAACGAAGCCAGACACTCTCTGATCTGCTCCTCCCATTTGGTCAGGTGGTTTACAATGGACTCTTTGGTGCAAACACAAATGCAAAACTGAGAAGTCTGTCGTTGCGGTTTGTGCATCATATTTGTATCATGTAAGTAATTCAGAGAGCACAGTGTTTTTCTAGCTATTTGCCCAGAAACCACTCTGTTTAATAAATATGTAACTGAACCAAGAAATACTAAAACTCGTAGGAAGTAATGGTTTTTTTGATTAATCCTGGTAGTTCATATCTGTCCTTGCACACAGTAAGATGTAATTTCTCAGCTTTTTCAGTTGAGAAAAAGTGACACTAGAGAAGATACTTTTAAGGGGTGCAAAAGATAATCTTTTGTTTGTTGATGTTTTTAATTGCAGTTGTCCAGAGAGTAAAATAAAGCCATTAGGCCCAATGCTTTTAAATGGACTTACAAAGCTGATCAATGAATACAAAGAGGTAAGATGAAAGGTTCTTTACTGTAATTATTCAGATAATTTTATGAAAAGACAAATACCTTTATGATGGAAACTGATGAATCTTTTTGTGGTGTTTGCCTGGGATAGCTGTGAAAGGATCCCTTTTAAGAATTTTTGTTGGAAGAGAAGCAAATATTTTAGAAGGCTGTAGAGGAAAACTCTTTTATTTGTTTGACACCTACAGATAGGTGCTTGGGCACCATTTGCAAAATCACGGGAAATAATAGTGTTGGGACTCTAAAGAGTGAGACCAGAGTAGTATATTGCTGCTGTTACTCTGGAGCACACAGGGACCTCAGCTCTGGGTGTCCATCCTGTTGTGATAAGCAACCTGCTTGTAATACTTTCCATCCTATCTGTCCAGAGATGGTATTGCGATGGGAAGGATGTTAACAAACAGAACTGCAAATGCCAGTCTGGTCTGGTGAGGTGTTTCCAGTGCAATATCAGAAGGCAAATTCCACACAATACCCCTACATGTACCTTACAAAGGGCTGATGTTGCAGATAACCCTTTCTGCAGCTTTGAACCTCTTGCTGCTTCATTTGAACTGTTGAATGTGACCTTCTGGCCTGAGTTGGTGCTTGAATGCATGGGTCGCCCATGCCATGGGGAAGGGCATGAAAAAGGAGTGTTCAGGAGATAGTAAACCCATATATAAATGTGCTGCAGGATCCATTGTGCAAACAGCTGCTTTTGTTTACAGCTGCTGTTTAGGTCTGGTGGAAGGTTTCTGTCCCTCTGCTACTCCTTATCTGTCGCTCTTGAAATAAAATGTGATTAGGTGACACCAAAAGGGACATTTACATTTTGTCACTATTTGCAGTTCTGTTTCTTGGAGAAAAGTGTACTTCCTCTGTTCCTATAGAATACTTTTATTCTTGGATAGGAATATTTTATGTTTCAGGATTGTTTTTCCATGAAAGACTGTTTGAGCAGTTTGTAGGCAGGCTTTAAAGTTAATGTTTAATTATAAAAAATATGCCGCCATGTATTTCTAAGGTTTTGCTGAATTTTATTTATTTTATCATTCAAGGATTCGAAACTGCTGTCAATGGCATATTCAGCGGCTGGAAAACTGTCCAGGTAACTGAAGCACCATTTAAGCAATGGTACATTGAATAATTTTTCCAAAGTAATCAGTTAATTTATCAGCAGCAAGCTTTATGCCACCTGCCAGTTTTGCAGCTGAGTACATGGTGCAGAGAAAAGCATTCTTCTTGTGACATCTCCAGAGATGTAAAAACAAATATGTTTTAGTTGATAGTTTCTCTAGCAGTGATTAATGGCAGCTCATGAATTATGAACAGAATTTAAGAAATAGTTTCACTTTTGGGATTGCCAGAAACATAAATTTAAGAAATATACAGCGAAGACCAGAGGGCATGAAGCTGGACAAGTGTCATGTTCAGTGTCATGTGTCATAGTGATCTAAGTGATTACCCGTAGAATGTTTTGCTTTCCAAACAGTGTTAAGGGAGGGAGAGTGTGCTGTTTTATGGTGGGTATGGCTAAGGCAAACTCTCTGTGCTAACTCTAATTGTTTGGCCATTGTAATGGGGGATAAGGGAAAGACCAAATGTGAAGGATTTCAATTGAAAGAACCAAAAGCTTCATGAATTAAAATATCTTGTTTCAGCCAAATGCCTCAGCTGTTTACCAAGGATATAGCACTGGTACAGCAGTTTTTTGAAGCTTTGTGCAAGGTGGGTACTGGTGGGGCTTTGCAGAATCATTAATGTTTTTTGCTAGTTTTGCTTAATTCTTGCCACTCTGTAAAGTGAAAACTCTTGGTTTTGTGCTGCAGGAAGATGATGATACTAGACTTGCCATTCAGGAGGCGTTGTCTATGATGGTTGGAGCATACAGTAACTTGGAAGGAGCTCAGTGTACCCTAATGGAAACTCTTGTAGCTTCTTATTTAATAAAGGTATTTTCAGTGGAGTCAAAATTGCATACCTGAAAAAAAAAAACTATTATTTGTTTTCCTGTTTCCTGACACTTATGTTAGATACTTTTGGAATAAGTCTCCCTTTTCTTGCTGAGTGTATTGGCCTGTCTAGGAGAAGGAGGGAGTGTGTATGCTCAAATAAAATATTTTTAATATGACTCAGTGGCTGAAAGGAAGGTGACAGTGCAGTTCTCTATTTGAGTTCTATTTAGCAAACAAACAAATCCATTGCAATTGCACTGTATGTTTCTCCTAGTCTCCTTGTAAGGCAACTTCTTAGAAGTAGATTCTTCAAGGACAATGTCTTCTGAAATGCTTTGAGACAGCAAGAGTTTGGTAGAAGAGATCATTCACTAAGTGGGATTTCAGTGGGCTATGTGATTTCTGACACAAGGCTCCTGGGAACTTCCCCAAGAATTCAGTCTTAAGACACCAGGCTAGAGTAAACCACACTTGACTGACTCTCTTACTTTACTGAGTACCTTCTTTGTGTTCACAATACCCCAGAGGTCTGAATTTTCAGAAAGTGTTTTTTGTATACTCTGTGTTTGTGTGGGTATATATACTCAGGAGGTATATGTATTTCTTGTGTAAGAAACTGTTTTCTTGCTGTTGACTCTTGCCTCTTTTGCTCAAGGGATCTTGATCTCCAGGCAACAGATTTTGGAGACTCTCTTTAGAGAGTACAGACCTTGTAGACAGAATGACCACCCTAGGCTCATGTTTCTTTTCTACCTCTGGCTGTGCTGCTCCAAAGCAAAGCTTTTTCTGTGAATAGATGATGTATGTTATATTAATTTCAAAATTACCTGGATTGTAACAGTTCAGTTGTCCAAGAGAGTCATAACCCTGATTTACGATTCCCCAAAATGTGCCTGTATTTAATGAAACATTTCACTCCCCACTTGTATGTATATGAGAAGCTTTTCCCCACCTCCTGCCATATGAAGAGTTAGCACGAACAGTGTCTCAAAATGTCTAAACTCTTTGAGTCATGTTGGTACCAAAGGACAAAACAGTCGACTAATGACATAAAAGTGGTGAGTGTAAGTCATTAGTGCTGTCATTTAAAACTCAACCATATGTCTGTGTCTTTTCCCTTTAAGCCTGAAGTTCAAGTACATCAAGTGTCTGTGAAATTTGCTAGCACAGTGTTCCCTCCAGATCATATCCCTTCCAGATACCTGCTTCTGTTAGCTGCAGGAGACCCGTAAGTTATTTTCCTCTACAAGTTATGTTCATATATATATATGTGTGTGTGTGTGTGTGCGCTCATGCACACATATATTTGCATCCAGTATATATTTGGATTAAATATGAATGCCTCTATATGCGTATGTAAGTCTGCACATAAATAACTTACAGAAGATCAAATATGGTAGTTCAGAAATCACCGTGTGCACAGGGACATTCTTGGCAGTTCTGTGGAGAACTGTTACTGTGCTCTGTGATAGCCTTTGCTTTGGATTGTTTTTCTTGTTTCAGATGAAGTGCTGTCACTAGAGCACTTCATGTTTAATGATCAGTTGCAATTGCAAAGTAGAAATGCACTAACTGAAGTCAGTTTTGCAGTGGGTAGGAATTATTTTTTCCTGGAAAATTTTATCAATCTATTTTTAGCTGGTATTTGTAGAGTCAAGAGCATGCACTTGTGAGAGTTGCCGCACTCTGCTGAGGTGTAGGTGACTTGTTAAATTACACTAATCATTTCATTTGCAGTTTTCTGTTGCCGCAGTGTAAGTGATGGGGATTTTTCCTACTTACTTTAATTGCTCAATTTTTGATGTAAGTAGCTATTACGTAAATAAGGAAAGCTAAATGGATCAATTGCAACAAACAGCTCTGTCACTGCAGTGTCAGCACTGTTTCAGGAATAGTTAGATGCTGTTAAGGAGATTATGATAAACCTGGTAGGTATTAGCTGAAGCTTGACTATAGGAAGTGATTAGGAGTAGCAGATAGGAAGACAAAGATGTGGGAACCAAGAACTGCTTATGAACTGTAGAAGGATGTAAGAGCAGCAGAATGAGCTCAAACAGATGGTTTTGCAGAGGGCATTCATTACTATTCTTTTTTTCTTTCCCCTCTCTAAAGAAAACAAATCATTAAAAGTTCTAATGCAAGATTTTTTTCTCCTTCTTTTCAAAAAAACCTCTCACATCTCATTTAAAAACTGTTCTCTCTCCCCCAGCTTCCCAACATACCTTACTGATCATTAGAGGCCATTTGTTCTATCCAAATAATGTCTGGTTTTCATCTTTTCTTATGAAAGACGGGAGGAGGTACATGGAGAAGCCCAGTGGGTACTGAGAACATTTTCTGGAAAAAATGAAAAGGAGAGTTCTGGGAAGCAGCTGCCTTCCTTCCCTGAAATTGTCCTTTACATTCAAGACAAGGTATGATGCTTCTGTCTCAATAAATTACAAATACATACCTGATGCTCAGGCATGTGATAAGTGTGGTCTTTTCCCTGTGTCTGTCTCCCTCACCTGCCTCAAGGAACAAAGTTAGCGAAAATCACAGAGAGGACCACACATGATTAACCATTGCATTGCCAAGATTAACACTCATTAATTTCTGCTGGCAGTAATTGCAAGAGATCCAAGTGTTAAGTAATGAAGCAGAACCTTGAGCAAAGGGAGTATTTTACTTTGTTGAATTTGTGCAAATGATGTGTGGAACGGGCAGTCCAGAATTCAAGGCTGATAATCCGGCATATTTCACAAATAGGGCTTGCTCACAAATGTGTTGTAAAGGCACAGGAGGACCATTTTCTTTTTGACCCAGAGAAAAATAATGTGCATAAAACAGAAAAAAGATTCTGTGCCATAAAGGAGATACTGGAACAAGTAAAAAAGTCTGATTTGTTGACTTAATTTTAGACCTAATTTTTCATCTTCACTGCAATTTATGGGCATAAGGGCCACGTGAGTAGCTTTTCAAGAGTTTAGTGGAGTGATGTGCCAAAAACTGTGCCACTCTATCCTCACTGTTTGCAATGGGAGTTCGTCTAGAGAAGTGTTGAAATGTATTCTGTGTTACACACTTCCGTGTAGAGTTGCTGCTGCGGGTTTGTAAAGTGTAAAGATGTGGAGAGTCATTAGCAGGTTTTTTTTAATGGTTATTTAACTGGTTATTGAAATATGTATTTAAATATTATATTATAATAGTATTTATATATTATATACATAATATTTATAGTACTGTTTATAATAATTTTATAATATAAATACCTTTATATTATGAATAAATATGTATTTTTAAAATATATATTTAAATAAACACATATTTATTTTTATGTATGGTTATTTAAATATGTATTTAAAAGTTAAGAAACCAAGATTGAGTTTTAGTGCCTGTCCCTTTGTAGATAATTTTAAAATTTTCCTTAACATCTGTAATGTCACTTAATAACTATGGATCAGTGTAGTTTAATCACTGCTGAGAAAAGCAAGATTCCCTCACTCATGAGGAAACATCAAGAAGAATTTTTGAGCACTTTTCAGATCTCCCCTACATTCCTGAAGGTGTACTTCAAAATCCAGGAGATGCATTAGTCTAGGAGATGCATTAGTCTGATTAGTTATCTCTAAATGCGAATTTTCACACATTATCAATAATCTGTGAGTGTTAAGAGATGTTTGAGACTTCCATATGCATTGCTTGGCATAGCTGGCTGAGATGCAAAATGGCTTTCCTGCATGAATTAACACGATCCTTACCCATTCTTCAAGGGAATCACCTTCTGTTCACTAATTCAGGTTTTCCGTAATGATTCTGGATGTCCCTGAAATTACAGTGCAGCAAAATATCTCAGACAAGTGAGGGTCTGTTGACATCTGCAATTGTGTGTTCATTCACATGCAAGGCTGCCTAGCTGAATCAAACCCTGCATTGATGTGCATATATAAATAAATATTTAATATGTAGATGCTTTTCTGCAACATTTGCAGTGGGTTTCACTGGAAGCCTCCTGTTCGGATGTTTTTCTTATAGAATATTCCTGGTTGTCATAGCTAACATTTACATGGAAAGAATTTACTCACTTGCGGCAGCAACCTTCCACCTGCAGAGTCTGAGAGACTCCCTGGGTTTGGCTGGTGCAGCACAGAGCACCCACCTCACACTACTGGGAAAGTCTGGCTGCTCTGCAGCCTCTCCAGGCAGAGCTGCCCTCTCAAAGCTTCCTGGCTGCCTGTCAGTGGGACACTTCAGAGTTTGAAAGTTTGAGGTATTTTGTTTTTAAATTCTAAAGCACTTCTTTTTTCCCTAAAGGGAAGAAAGACCATTTTACTCTTCCAGCTTCCCCTTCCATTCCGTCTCATGAATTCAGTTTCCACATTCTAAGTTGATAGCAAAGTAGATCGACTTGAACTGTACCATATCCAAGTGCACTGTGCCCTTCTTGTTACAGAGCTGTTGTACATTTATTAGTTGCTAAGTGGAGGATTAACACAGATCAGCAAAATTTCATTGACCTTTCCAACATCTCTGCCGTTATTGGTCTGAATGTTCCACTCTTAATATACTCTGTTGTTTAGACCTCTCACCGAATGAAAACCCCTGCTAAATATATGACTGGAACTGCAGCGTTGCCTTTTAATCCTGCCACATTTGGAGAGGTAACTGTCTGAATTTACTTCCTTAGATATGCGTACCATTATTATTCATTTAGGAAATACTGCAAGAAGCTAATAGCTATAATAAGTCACCTACATTTTAAAATTCTTTTAAACAGATATTGGAGTTAACTCTCCATCCTTCATCTTTAAATGGCAGTCTGAACAGGATTTTCAGGGGGGATTGGGAGGAATGTTTCTGAGAGGGTTGCTCCACTGCTTTCTGCAGCATATGTAATGTAGGAGCATGTCAGAGGAAGAAACTGGAAGTCCTGTGCAGAACTCCTGTTATGCTCCTTGAGGCTGTTCTTTTCATAACAGATTGCCAGACTTCAGAGACCTGTAGACACAAAGTCAGATGGGAAGCAAGATCTGTATTAGCAGTGTGTTGCCTTACATTTACCAAATTGGTATAGGGTACAGGCTGAACTGCTTGCAAGGAGGTTGCATCAGCTGATGATAAACCAAAAGTCTGCATATCTTTAGAGAGTGATGCAGGCACCGTAGGGATGCCTGCTTACAGAGGTGTATCGCAGAAACTGGCCCTGAGATGTGTTACACTTTATATTTGTTCTTGTGTCTACACTGACTCTTCTGTCTAGATTTGGTTAAAGAAGAAACTGTCTAGTTTTGGTTACATTTAATATAGCATATTCCCTGCTCTTTTTTCTCCTCTCTGGTTTTTCAAGCACTCATGCACTCAGTATCCTGTGTTTTTATCTCCTCTACTTAGATAGTTCTGTATCTGCGGATGTGTCTTGCTCATAGTGCTGGTGTGGTGCCAACCTCACAGAGCTTGGCAGATATGCAAGATCATGCTCCAACCATTGGACGTTACATAAGAAACCTCATGTCTGGCAACCACATAACTTTATTTTCCTCCTCGTCCTCTTCAAAAAGTGCAGAAACCAACCCTGTACATATATATATTGGCCTTCTTCAGCAGCTCTTAGCTGGTGTTGGAGGTAAGAAGCCGTGTGTAGCAGCATCCTGAAGAAAAAAATGTCTTCCCTTACTAGAAATGAGTTGCCTAGTGCTTTGAACTTGGCTACACCTGTTACAGACTTGCAGCATGGACTATATACTTTTTACTTTAAGCTTGTTTTCTTCTATGCTGTTATGTAGGTGGGAGAAAGCAGGGTGGTAAAATTGCAGCATCATTTGACATAATAGTGTAAAATTGTGAAACCATTGTCTGTAACAGCTTCCTTACCAGTGAATGCTGTCTTCCTCACTCTGATAATAGTCTATCTGCCAGTGGAGTCTAAAACACTTGAATGTGTTTAGAACAAATTGCTACCAGAGTGTTTGCTTTTATTGGCTTCCCTAATATTTCTAAGAAATACTGTACCCTATTATTCTGTATTGTTTGTTATCCTTAGTGAATTGCAAATGAATGCTTTGAAATGCCTGATACTTAACTTCTTTTTACCACTGACTGTTAGATTGTTTTACATACTGGAGTTGTTTAATAACATGATTCTTTAATTGCTGCTTAGGTTTGCCAGTCATGTATTGTCTTCTAGAAGTTGTTTCAGTGTATCCAGAAAAACTAGCCACCAGATTTGCAGACAAAATGGATTGGATAAAGGTATACTGAACCCCCCCCCCTTTTTTTTTTCTTTTGTTTTGGTTGGATGGGATTTGGCATTATAAAAGTCTGGCATAGGTCTCATGGTGAAACAGAATATTATTTCCAAGTATGCACTTAATCTGAAGTCCGGTATTTATACTTACAGTCAGCACCTCATGAGATGTTATACATACCAGGAGGGGGAAAATTACTTTTAAATTATTTCGTTCTTTGGTGTTACTGATTTTGTTCCTTGACCTTGTTCACTGATCTGGGTAATCTATGTTATCAGTCCTGTTGGCATAGTCAGCCAGTTTTTTCTCTGCAAAAGACAACTGAAAACAAAATTCTGCACATTTTTGAAGAAATTAACAATGGAATGTTTTAATGGGAAGATGTGAGTGACTTCTCAGAAAATGAGATTAATTTGATCCCTAATTGCTTTAGAGGCCTTTCTTTGGAGTTTTTTTATTTATTAGCCTCAACCAAAACAAACAAAAAAACCCCATAAACTGGAGCCTACTTGGGAATAAGGCAAAGAGAATTCTGCTTTCCCTAGATTCTTTTTTCAGATAACTTTGTGCTTTTTCATGAATTTGCTTCAAGTATCCAGTATTTTTGAAGCTCTTGCAGGTTGCCTTTCCTTTCATTGGGGGAATCTGGCAGAAACAAATACTTACAGGTTAAAAAATATAGAGTGTGTTCGAGTAGTTTCTCCTGATAATATCTGTGCTACATTGCACTGTGTGCGGTTTATCACGTCTCATTTACATGCAGGTATGAACTGCAAAGGAGAGTACTTAAAAACATTCTCCTTTTCAGTATTCCTCATCATTTTTAGAAAAGCCTTCTTTTTTCTTTGACCTAGTGTCCATTTGCAAAATTAGGCTTCTAGGGGTGGTTACTGATAATATCTAGTTTCAGAAACACTGTTGTAAATTATCCTTTTTATGTTTTTTGCCTTGCCAAGGGAAAGGAACCTTGCCAAGGTTCAGGAGTTTGTTAGAAATCAACTTTGTGATCTCATGCAAGCTTGGAGATGAAGTTAGTGTTATGTTTCATGAGGCTGACAGAGGTAATTTCTTGTTTACTTGCTTGGCTCATTTTTCTTTCTTTGTGGTGGCCCAAACCATTCAAAGATTTGGGTATGAATTTTTCATGGGAGTCTGTTGCATTATGCATCAAATTACTGGCAGAGGTAAGATTATTGTAAGAAATGACCCAAAGCTTTCAAAAGTCAACTTTTTAACAATTTACTTAGATGATACAGGATCTCATCTCCAAAGTGGATAATTTAGCATTGAGAACTGTGATTTCTTGGCCTTTTTTTTTTTTTTTTTTTTTTTTT